TCTCTATAGCTTTGGAGCCTATCCTGACACTCGCTCTGTAGACCAGGCTGGCCTCAAACTCACAGAGATCTGCCTGCCTCTGTCTCCTAAGTGCTGAGATTAAAAGCATGTGCCACTACTCCTGGGCATTTTTCCTCTTTTTCATCCTGGGGATGGAATCTAGGACCTTGCAGGCAAGCACTCTATGGCTGAGCTGAATCACTAGCCCCCAATTTAATTCTTTTAAATGTAATCAATTTACTTCAGATATTAAGTATCCCAAGACTCTGAAGTAACATAGTAGCATAGGTATGATTCAATGTGAGTATAGTAATTCTTTCTTTCCACTTTGAAAGTTAATGTATCTATTGAGAAACAATGAGGCATCTAGATTTCTTGGCAGATGGCCTTTTTAGCCTACCGAAATTTAGTGTTAGAGGGCCTTGAATCTAAACTTGCTTTTAAGGCCTCCCAGTTTCATTGAGATCAAATTGCTTGGCATATCCCAAATTGCCACGTTCTAAAGGATATTGTTCCCTGATAATAAATCGGTTTTCTTTTCTTCCTATTGAATCTGTCTCCAGTCATTCATTCCAGCCAACCTGACATGGAGGGGAGGGAGGGGGATTTCATCTGCCTCTGCACTGCCAGATCTTCCCTCTGCCCTGTCCCACCCTTCCACATTCCTTGTGAGTAGACCTTTTGCTTATTTCTCCTGCTGACTGTGGAACAGGCTTTTCTCAGCAGAGCCTGGTGTATTGCTGAACTTTCTGAGTGGTTTGTGCTTTCTCCCTGGTGGGCTGTGGGCCTTTGATGGACAGTCTCAGGGGGTGGGGTGTGGGCCTTTGATGGACAGTCTCAGGGGGTGGGATGTGGGCCTTTGATGGACAGTCTCAGGCCAGGCCCAGGTCCAGCTAACCAGATCTTTCAGCTCCATATCTTGGCAATGGCTCTTGGGGAATGAGTCCTCTCTCTAGGAGATCTCTGGAGGCCCTCCCTCCTTGGTCTGTCTGTCTGCTCATGCCCACCCTCTCCTGTTCTGTTCCCAGGGGCGGGAGCAGGATGTGAATAAAATCATACAAGCCCTAAATCAGTGCCTTGATGCCCTCCCCCGGCAGCAGCTGCAAAGAGTTGGGGCCATCGGAGTGTCAGGACAGATGCATGGCATCCTATTTTGGAAAGCAGGTCAAGGTACGCTGGGTGTGGGTAATGATCTCATGCTTCGGTCGATTAGCCGACTAAGAACAGGGTTGTAAAGGGCTCTTGGACCAGGGTCAGGTTGTCCTGGCATGGGCATAGTGCCTTGCTCCTCAGAACAAAATATCGTATGTGGCCACCTGGGTTTTGTGTACATTTTGTCTGGGCCAAATGTGTAGTGAAGACTCAGATTGTCTGCTTGCATTTCCATTTTATAACCCGTGGACAGCCAGAGGAGAAAGGGAGTTTGGTTTTCCTTTGGAACTCAGTAGAGAGGATCTCACAGAGCTCCCAGCTGTAACTGGACAAGGTGCCAAGCAGAGGAAACTGGATTTGAGTGTTTTAAAATTAAAATTAAAATTAAAATTTAACGTATTGTTTTCTCTCTCTCTCTGTGTCTCTGTCTGTCTGTGTCTCTGTCTGTCTGTCTGTCTGTCTGTCTGTCTGTCTGTCTGTCCATGTGTTTGTTCTCTTCTTCCACTGTACGCTCTGGGGATGGAGCTCTGGTGGTTAGACCTGTGTGACAAGCACTTTTACCTGCTGAACCATCATGCTGGCTGTGGGTATAGGTCTTTTCTTTTCTTTTTTCTTTTTCTTGAGACTCAGTCTTATGTAGCTCAGGCTGGCCATAAACTCTTTAGATAGCTAAGGCTTGTCTTGAACTCCTGATCCCCTGCTTCTACTTCCGAGCAAACCCAGGATCTCATCTCACATGTGCTATGCCCCAGTTCTTTTTTTTTTTTTTCTTACTTTTTATTAGTGACTTGGTAAATTCCCCAGGCTGGCCTTGATCTCACAATAGCTCAGGCAGGCTGCAAAGAGCTTAGGATCGTTGTCCTCCAGTCTTCTAAGCAGCTGGAATTACAATCCTGTGCCACCAGGTCCAGATGGGTATAATTTCTAATCTTCACATAGCTTTATTTAATTCTAGTTACTATCACTTTAGTGGACAAAGCATTATTATTGTTATTATGTTCTTATCATTTGGTCCTGGCAATAGGACCTGGGGCTTCGTGCACGCTAAGCATGTGCCTACACAGCATCACTTCATCTTCATCTGCTGAAGGTCTGCCCCTGTGCAAAGGTGGTGACCTGTACTGTGTGGCCCTTAGGGGAAGACTGTGCCAGAAAAACAACTAGCACTTCAGGTGCCAGGTGTCAGGCTAAGGATGCTACCTGCATGACCTCATCCATCTTTCCCAACATCTTTATGATGAGTGTGACTGTTACCACTGTGCAGGTGAGGAGCAGGAAGTTCAGAGAGGTTATAACTAAATACTCTGGTCCACACAGCAGTGATCATTGTCGAGCTTTCAAAGGCCTCTCAGAAGGTCAGAGCCGAAGGAAGGTAGCGGTATAGTGAAGGGAGGGACTTCCCAACAGAAGGTCCACAGAAGGAATAGAATTTACAGGAAGTCACCAGCTCTCTGGATTGCTAGGCAGTCCTTTTTTTTTTTTAAATGATAGAAAATGTCATATAGACATAAACTAGAAAGAACAGTATTACTAAACTGTCATTCAGCCTCAGAAACATTATCATTTGAGCACAGATGGGTGCTATTATTTATTTATTGAGACACAGGCACATGGCACTGCACCTGGCTGAGTGTAAATTTTTCAAGCAGAGGACAAAATGGCTACTTGGAGTTGATAGGTGTTGTGGCTAAGAAGGTGGGGTGCTGGATTCATTCCTGTCTGCCTAGTAAGACAGCAACTCAGGTCCCCTGGGCTAAGTGAATGGTGACTCTCCTCACCTAGTGGTGTGTCCTGAGCCTTGCCCTAGACAGGGCTAGGTATCTATAGAAGTCCCCTTTCTCCCTTGTCTGCTGTTACCAGGTCACTTCAGACAATCAAGCTGCTTGGCTTCAAGCAGTAGGAGGTCGATAAGGGCGCCAGAGCTGACCTCTCCCAGGCAGTTCAGGTTGTAAAAGCTTTTTAAATTCTTCAATTCTTCATTAACAAGAATAAATGTCCTTTTAATCCTAAAACCCTTCCTAAAGGGGAGAGCAGAGATCTAATGATTGTGGTCTGGTCATCTGCCTTTCTTTCTGAGTCTCCTGGCTTCTGTACCAACCACACAAACCATCAGCCACATCATTGGAAGAGCTGCTTAAAATTTCACGGAGCCAGCCTGCTGTCTTGTTTTGCTTTCTGCTTCTGGGAAAGAGGAAGTGAGTTTGCTGCCACTGATTCCTGATGATGGAGTCCAGTAAAGTCAGGTTTAGGATCAAGTTGTACCATTTTTAATGGTGGCCACAATTCAGGTTGGCTTTAGTACCTACCACGTGGAGGCCCTGTATTAGTCCCCCTGGGAGCTAAGGAATTGAGTGTAGAAGCCTGTATCTTCCAGAACACAGCCAACATGGTCAGGCACCTGCAACTCAAGCAGAAGGCTAAGTACTTTAGTGAGGACACAGGCGAGCAAGTGGGAGGACTGGGAATGACTGGCATTTTCTGAGAGGCCTGTGGTTAGGTCTGTTTTCAGAGTCCACTTTCAGGCTCAATAAAAGAGAGAGAAAAATAGGGGCCATAAAGCAAAGCTAAAAGGCGAGCTGCAGACAGGGCAAAAACATTTGCCAATGTAGAGTAGGTGAAAGACAAGCATCAGGCGAAGCAAAGGAAGATGGACCAAGAGTCTCTGACAAACAATTCCTGGAAGGGGAAATAGAGAGGAGACAATGCTCAATATCATCCACAATTAGGAGAATGCATATGTCAACAACCATGGGACATTGTTTTCCACCCACTGGACTGAAAGGAATCAAAAGGCCTGGGAATATCAAGAGTTGTCAAAAGGGTGGGAAACTGGTTTATTATAAATACTGCAGCTGGTATTTAAATAGATTAAATTAACAGAGCTGTTTTGTAGGGCAGCTGGGCAAGGCCTGTTAAAAAAGTGTGGCTACTTGGAACTGGTCCAGGAGAAGTATATCACTGCATCTTTGTTTATAGTGGTAAAAATGTGCCATTTACCTATGGGGACTCATTACATACATGCAGTCAGGCTCATGACGTGGGATGACATTTAGTAGTTAGAAAGAATAGGGTACATTCAAGCATATTGACACACAGAGGACTCAAGACATGTTGTTGGGCAGCAGCAATAGATACAGTAGAGTATTACTGTTTAAACAAACACACCCAGGTCAACCACATAAAACAAAACCTGTTGTGTGAGTGTCAACAATAGACAGTCACCCAGGAAGAATACACAGTGATAAGTAGGGGGTTGCAACTATGTAGGGAATGGGCACTCAGGACTTTTGCCCTGTCTCTAATATTTGAAGTTTTTTTTTTAAATTGAGAGTGCATTCATTTATCATTGTGTCATTAAAAGCTTCAAATATAATAGTTCTTTACCAATGGGAAGGAAGGTGGAGAGAAAGAGGGAAAGAGAAGGAGGCACACACTGGGTCAGATTCTGGGACAGACTTCCTAGATTCACATACTGATTATTAAGTCTGTGAATCTGGGCAAAATTTAAAAGCATCCTGCTTTATTTTTTCTTATGTGGGGATAACAATCACACAATCAATTCTCAGCACCCATATGGAAGCTTACAGCTGTCTGTAATCCCAGTCCTGTGGAATCTTGTGCCCTCTTCTGGCCTCCACAGGTACTGCATGTACACCGTGCACAGACATATATGTAGACAGAACACACATACACAGCAAATAAACAAACAAACAAATAAATAAATTGGCACATAGAATAAGTGAGTTACTATTTTTTTTTTAAAGATTTTAAAAAATTTATTATGTATACAATGTTCTGCCTGCATGTATGCCTCCAGGCCAGAAGAGGGCGCCAGATCTTATTATAGATGGTTGTGAGCCACAATGTGGTTACTGGGAATTGAACTCAGGCCCTCTGGGAGAGCAGTCAGTGCTCTTAACCTCTGAGCCATCTCTCTAGCCCCAGTGAGTTACTATTTTTTAAAGTGTGTTAAACAACCTATGGCATATAATAAGCATTATATTTTTGTTATAATAAAATTACAATTCAAACAATGTAAAATGGGATCAAAAGAGTTTTGAAAGCAGATGAAGGGAAAGGATGGAGCTGAAGCTGCAGAATTGCAGCTTTGGGACTGAGCTCAGTCCCAAAGGTAGCAGTGAGGCTGTCAGAGAGGCTGTCACAGTAGGAAGCGCCTATTCCTATGCCTGCCTCCCAGGGGTACCAGGCGATGTTGTAGGTCCCTTAACCTGTAATCTGCCTCTCTGCTGTGCTGCAATGCCAGGAATACTGACCGACAGTTTGACAAGGTCTCTTTAGAGTGTTTGCAGTCATGGTTTCATCTATCTGCAACATGTGTGCCCAGCCAATTTTTATTTCTTTAAAGATTTATTTATGTATTTTATGTATATGAGTGCTCTGGGTGCATATACACCTGCAGACCAGAAGGGGGCACCATATCTCATATAGATAGTTGTGAGCCACCATGTGGTTTCTGGGAATTGAGCCCATGACCTCTGGAAGAGCATCCAGTGCTCTTAACCTCTGAGCCATTTCTCCAGCCTGTCCCCAGCTCTTTGTAAGGTTTATTCCCTTACTCCATTGATGTTCTTCACATGTCATTTCAGAGAGGACTTCCTGGACCTCCAATAACCTACCCCTGTCTTTCCCTTTCCTCCTCTGTATATTTTCCACAGCAACTGAAAGTACCTGGTAGCATCTTTGCTCATTTATACTCTGTCTCCATCCTGGCATATAAGCTTCATGGAGGCAGTGGGCTTCTTCTGTTCTTTGTGCTCAGAGACTAGACTAGAACCAGGGTGTGATGCCCATTAGATGGTCAGTCGGTACAGCACGCAGTCACCATGTGTGAGTGAATGAATGGATGTGTCATAGCCTGGGAATAAATGGAGAGGGGCAGGTAACTCTCATTCTTTGGCTCCTTATGAGTAAATTTATAGAAAAATACAATGACTTTAGATTCCAAATCTGGCATCAGACATGGCCACAAAACTTCTACATTGTTTGGTAGGCACCATTCTGTAGTTGGGGCAGATTCTGACCTCTGTCTCCTGAGTCTTGAGTGTGTTCAGTTCTGTGAGCTGTTCTTGACTGGCACATTGTGTCAGTCTTGTTTTCCTATTTTGCTGCACTAGTTGTCATTGAATTCATGTGAGAAACAGCCCTGTCTGAGGAGAGGCTGTGTAAAGAAGGTATGCTGTCTTTTTCAAAGGCTGCTGGAAAACCCCGAGGCCCAGGGCAGGGTTATAAGTCGTGCTGGCTTTCTGTTGCTTATGGAGAGAAAATGTTCATTTCAGCTCACAGTTTTGGAGGTTCCAGTGAATTGCTTTGGACCTATAGTGGCGTTTTCTTTGTTAGGGTTTCTATTGCTGTGAAGAGACACCATGGCCACGATAACTCCTATAGAGAAAACATTTAATTAGGGTGGCTCAATTACAGTTTCAGAGGTTCGGTCCATTATCATCATGACGAGGAACATGGTGGCATGCAGGCAGACATGGTGCTGGAGTTGAGAGTGCTACATCTTATAGGCAACAGAAAGTCAACTAACTGTCACACTGAGTGAAGCTTGAAAAAAAGATCTCAAAGGCCCCCCCCCCCACAGTGACAGACTTCCTCCAATAAGACCACACCTACTCTAACAAGGCCACACCTCCTAATAGTGTCACTCTCTTTGGGGGCCATTTTCTTTCAAACCACCGCAGGCATATCATGGTGGAAATGAGGGAGAGACAAACTTCTCACCTCATGGTTGGAAAGCAGATGAGAGACAGCGAAGAACTCATGTCCCACAATCTCTCTCTTTTATGAGGTTTAATTTATTTTTATTGTATGTGTATGAGTGCTTGCCTGAATGTCTGTATACCATGGACATACCGTGCCCACTGAGGCCAGGAGAGGGCATTGCATCACCTAGGACTGGAGTTACAGAGTGTTCTGAGCCACCATATGGGTGCTGTGAATTGAAACTAGGTCTTCTGGAGGAGCATACCCCCCCAAGAAGAATGAAAATTAGGGAGAGAGAGAGAGAGAGAGAGAGAGAGAGAGAGAGAGAGAGAGAGAAAGCAGGACAGAGGTTAGACACATGGGAGGAGTGAGTGACTTCCCAGGGCCACTCAGCCACTCTGGTATCAGAATCATGTCTGAATGAAGCACTGTCACAGAGTGGAAATGTCTGTTTTATAAACTCACTTGCAGAGCAGACCCAAGGACAGGCCTATACTCACTCAGTGCTGTTTTCTTCATTTTTTTTTTGTCATCTCCTTTGTTGCAGGCTGTGAATGGATGCAGGGAGGGACTGCCCTTGTATTTGAGCCCAGAGCCGTAAGCCACTTGGTCACATGGCAGGACGGCCGTTGTAACAGTGGTTTCCTGGCTTCTCTGCCCAAGCCAGCATCCCATCTCAGTGTGGCCACTGGATTTGGCTGTGCAACCATCTTCTGGCTTTTGAAAAACAGGTCTGACAACTGTTCTTTCAATCAGCATGTGGTTTCTGGGGTGTGAACGGACAAGGACTGTGTCTTTAGCTAGTCAGCATCTCTCTACCTGCTGCCCTGTCTTGAGGGGGGCCTGGCACAAGGTGGAGTCACAAGGTTCACATTTGATCTGGAATGGCTCCATTTGTGGAAGCTCACCATTGGATACCTGGTTCTAACTCAGGACAGGGGATGGAGGTAGGGGGTGGGGAGGGAGAGAGAGGGAGACAAAGAGGGCAAGTGACTTCACAGTGGAGTCAGGGCTATGACCTTCTTTCCTGGGTATAGTGCCTCTTCCTCCAAGTTCCCTCCCTTGGGGCTGACTTGGGATAGCTTGCTCTAGAGTGGCCAGGATAGCTTTCCCTTGAATTCACTATATTGAACTACATACAGTACGTGAGGTTATGGCTGTGCCCCAGTTGTGCCATGTCTAGTCCCCTCTGTTCACAGCTAGGTATAGCATGAGCTTTGATATCCTTATTATATCATGCTGAACTGCTTTTTGTTTGACAAATAGCCCAGAGTTCCTGAAGTCCTATGATGCAGCTGGTACCATCCAAGACTATGTGGTTGCCATGCTGTCTGGCTTGCCAAGACCCCTGATGTCTGACCAGAATGCTGCTAGCTGGGGCTATTTTAACACCCAGAGCCAAAGCTGGAACTTGGAGATGTGAGTATGGCCTCATGGGTGGATCCAGATGAAGGGTGTGCCTGGAAGGAGAACTTCAGTATTTTAGAGTAGGGACAGAGGCTGTCTGCTGAAGGGACGCTTCCTACTTTATTCTACACAAACGTTTCCCTTTGCAGGTACATAACTCCAGGGTGCTGTGAGTTTACTTCCTTCAGGGCCTCAGTTTTGAGCCCTGAGATACTTAAAAGCACATGGTAGTTCAGGTAAAGAACTTTCTGGTGTGCTTCATGTAGCCTTCACTAACCATGAGCAATGGATGCATGGGGTGTTCATGAAGCCACTGGGCCTGATTTAGTTTGCAATGTGCTAACCAATTCTAATGGTACTGGGGTCCTGGTGTTCCCTTTGCAGAAGGTTTATGTTCCCTTCAAACACAGGTGTTGGAATGCCCTTGAAGTCTGGCTCATCTCTCACTCGGGGTCCCATCCTTTCCTTCTATTTATCTCTACCTTTTTCTGATGGCTGCTGTTGAGACTGCTTGTCCCCTAACCCCACCCACTCCATGGTGAATCTCAAGTGTTTGTTCACTAGCTACAAAACCCAAACTCATGACTTAAAAAATGCCAGAGACGTTTTGTGCTACTACTGTACCCTGGCATCCTGACCTTCCTTCTGCTGTGTGTAAGCTGTAGCACTGAGTTTCCAGGAACCGGTAAAATCCAGATGACCAAACACCACAGGAACTCTAGGGCTCACTTCTGTTTTACAGACTGGAAGCAGCAGGCTTTCCTGTCCACCTGCTCCCCGATATTGCAGAGCCAGGCAGCATGGCAGGCAGAACCTCTCACACGTGGTTTGAAATCCCAAAGGGCACACAGGTGGGCGTAGCCCTGGGTGATTTACAAGCCTCTGTCTATTCCTGCATGGGCCAAAGGACTGATGCAGGTAAGTTTGCCTTTTGTTTCCTCCTTAGACTCGTGCTGCTGTCTCCTCAGTACCAACTGTCACTCAGGGTAGCTTCAGGCTCAACATCCTGTGAAGGTGGAAACACTTTCCTCCTTGCAGGGGAATCTCTGCCTGGGAAGGTAACAGGGCTCAGAGTTCTATCCCTTTGCATTGACCCCACTAGGGCTGGGGAGGGAAAAGGCTGTCTTTTTCTTTCTATGTACTCCATGACCAAGAGAACAGAGATTAGCTTGGACCATGACTCAGTGGTGGAGTACTTGCCCAGTGTGCATGAGGCCCTGGATTCTGTTCTCAGAATGAGGGGTGAGGCAAGAGGAGGGGACTAACACTGTTATTATTGTGTCAGTGAAAGTTATATTAGATGCACTTCTAAGTGCAGAACCCTTTCTGTCAGGACATAGTCTCCATTTGGTTTCTTTTAAAGAATCTATAAAACCTAAGGACATATAAAGTGGTACAGACCCTTTGGAAAACAGTGCATAGGTCCTCACAGGTTAAATGTGGAGTTACCGTGTCCTAGAGACACAGCAAAAGAACCAGAAACACGTGTCCCCACAATCACTCCAACCCCATAGTTCATGCCAGTACTGTTCACAACAGCCCCTAGTGGAAACAACCCAAACGGAGTGTGAAACTGTGGGCAATCTAAAGTACTACAATGTGAAGCGTGAAAGACAGGTACGAAGCCATACGTCTGTGCTTCCATTAATAGACAATGCCATAATGTCATGGCATGTCCATGGAGAGAGGAGGATGACCGGTTGCTGGGGACTGTTGTGAGTGATTGTTAGGGGTACATTTTCCTTTTAGAGTGATGGAAATGTTCTAAAATTGGTTAGTGGTGAAGGCTGTTCCTAGGGTATGGACCCCAAGCTTAGAGGCAGGTGGGGTGCATGCTGCTTCTGATTTATAGCCTTGCTAGAAGGTTTGATGTGACATAGCACAAAGGTTCTTTATTGCCTTCTGAGGCTGTTTTTGCTTTTGATGTTTCGGATCCCCTAACAGATGAGGAAATTGGAAGCTGACTTCAGTTTGGTTTCTAAACCTGCTAGCTCTGGAAAGTAATGCACTACTGCTCCTGCTTTTCTTTATTTTATTAGACCGAGTCTAGTCTTATGCAATTTACTTTATTAGTGCTTTATTTATTAGACTGAGTCCAGTGCACACTTGGTGGGGACAATGGACTACGCCTCTTAAAAAAGAAATACTATTTAAGAATGTACATATTTTGAACATGACATCTCTTCTGTTATGATGTTACGATATGTGACCCTGAGGGCTAAGCTCTGCTGTCTTTGTGCAGTTCTCAACATCAGCACCTCCGTCCAGCTGGCAGCCTCCATGCCTGTGGGATTCCAGCCACTGCAGACTCCGGATCCTGCGGCTCCAGTCTCCTTCTTCCCTTACTTCAACCAAACCTACCTAGGGGTGGCAGCATCTCTCAATGGAGGCAATGTTCTGGCCATGTTTGTCCACATGCTTGTTCAGTGGATGGGGGGTCGTGGGGAGGAGTGGGCCA